AATCCCTTCCTCCTACCCTTCCAAGAGGAATGAAAGGAATGGAAATGTGCATTTATTAAGGCATTTTTTAGAAGCCAAGCTTCTCTTCATTAATAAAGTAGTTAGAAATATTATCCTTTGATATAACTACATGCTCATCCTTATATTCATACATGTATGAATCTATGTTTGAAGATAACTCAAATTTCCATCTTAATTTAGTCTCAGGCCAAGAAGACGGAACTTATACAGTCACTTCTAGTAGCCTGTCGTGATCATGAGGCTAAGTATTTGGTACGCAGTCTTCAAGGTAAGCTGCGTATTGGCCTGGCCGAGCAGTCCGTTCTTGCTAGTTTAGGTCAAGCCGCCGCCTATACTCCTTTTCATAGCATCGCCGCCGTCTACGCGGGCTCACAAAGTCATCAGTTTACACCTGATGTCACTGCACTGCTAGATGCTTCACGAGGCGTGACATCAGAAGTTTGGAAGGCCCAGGTCGATGAGATGGCGGCTGCCGTCAAGAGGGCTTATTGGTAGGACATTACATGCTTTTCCTCTGATTTAATTATTATTTTTAGAATTAATTTATATATATTTTCTTGAAATTAACTGCCAACCAGAACGGAGGAAAATCTGGTTTCGAGTAATTCCTTAGTTTGCAATTATCGCCTCGAGAGAAAACATGATGAAGAAATCCAAAGTTACATCTTGTCAGAAGACGCTGGTGAATTTATTTTGGCTTGGCTCTATTAGAACGTTTTGATTGTCGCTATTCCATAGGCAGTCTCCTTGATTCCTGCTAAAGCTTGTTAGGCTTTCATCTCTCATCTTCTAACAGGCATCATAGGAGCATGCTATCATCCTTTCTACTATTCTATCCTAACTAGTCAAGAGTGCATATAAAAGATATATGGGGCCATGTCGATGAGTTTTCCTGACTTCCTAACTTTAAGCAGTTGTTAGAATGATACTTTTTTCTCATCACGTACGTCATGTGAAAGGCGATAGCTTATTACATTTCTACTATAGTCGAAAGCGATTGCATCAGGGACTGCACCTATCAGGATTTTCCATTAAAGCCAAATAACAGCTGGCTAAGATCAATTTATCCTCGTCTTCTGGTTGAATCGACCTTCGAATTTTCTAGAAGTGGGCTCAACAATTGTTCCCGTAAAGCTTCGCTGATTTCCATCTTCGATTTATCCTACTTTACTCTAATAATAGTTCAAGCCATCTCATTTTAATTACAACCACCATTTCATTGTTACGAATGGTTTTGTGAATCATCTCATCAGCCTCCATTGTTTCTAAATGAAACTTTTTATACATATTAATAATATGCTGTGCTCCTGATAAATTTAGGGTAATCGCTTCATTTATCCATTTTTCTATTTTAAAATATTTTCCATTCGGGGACACTCCTACCTCATGATATTTGAATTCGTCCATTTCGAGCTGAATCATTGTTTCTATGTTTAACCTAATTATTCGCTTTGAACTTGCTCTCCGACCGTAGCTTAAGGATATCCTTAAAATCAGAATTATAACTTATTTCGGCTCCTGTCTAATCCAATGTCATCTGCCTAGTGCTTCAGTTAGGATAACTCACACCTAATATAACTCATATTTTTTTAGTATTTGGGCCTATACATCTTAGTAATCTGCTGATAAGTTATTCTATGGTCTTACAGAGACTGATACTTATTTTATTCAGGACGAATTGAAGGAATGTGTTTACTTTCATCGATGTGTCTTAAGTGGCTCTATCCTTCTGTCTGGATTTAATCTGACTTAATTTATATATCGTTGGTACACCAAGATGAGGTTTATTCCACGATTTAGAGACTCCTTTTAATCTGTGGAAAAAAGGTATTTTCATGCATTATAAAAACTAGTGTTAATTTCAGGATAGAAAATGTCTTCTAGAAAGCCTAGCGCTGTAGCTTCCAAGGGAAATCAAAACTGTCCTTCAATTCATCATGCAAATATATCGACCGACATCACACTACTTCTTACTGGTATTCTAAGGAGTATTTTGTTGCCTTGAGCATTTTTAACTTCTTGCTTCTCTCATTTCACGACCTCCACATCCATTTCCTCAGTCTGTGCCCAAATTATGACACTTTGGTGGCTGCGCTTTTGGAAGGCGGAACGGAAGCACTCACTGCTCAATGCATCCTCACACCAGGCATCCCGCTCAAGCCTATGCTCGCCCATCCAGCAAAGGGGGTCAGCAATGTTTTAAAACGGTTTGATGAGGCTGATTTCACTTGCGAATACAAATATGACGGTGAGCGGGCCCAGGTAATTCGCTTTACTAGCACACATATACGTTTTTATATGCATGAATATAAATATTCGCCTTATGCTCCACAGCCTGAATTGTACTTCTTGGTCACTTAATGTTTTACGGGCGTATTGTCGATCTGTATGTCGTTCATCGATTTCCCCTTTCATCAATAGCATACTTCTGGGAAAACTCCAAGGCAGTCTAATTTGTCCACCCTCCTTTATTCTTTAACTAGACTTGTGAGGAGTGTCATTTTTTCTTTTTTGATCTCTTGTTTATTCCAATTTTCTCAATATAAGCCACC